CCGCTCCTGCGAGAGGGAAAGCCGCTGCTCCTGCAAGTGGGGAGGCCACCGCTCCCGCGAGAGGGGAAGCCATCAGCATCCGCAGCCTCCTGCTCCCTCTTGTCCCGCTCCCCGCCGTGTGCTGTACAGCTGCCCTCCGTGCCCCTGCCACTGCACAGCCCGGAGCTCCATCCAATCCGACAGAGCGGGGCCTCCCACGCGGCCTAAAGCACCTACAGACACCGGGCCCTGCCGTGACTAGCCACCCGCCCATCAATCCAACAGCAACAGGGGGTGGATACTGATAACCCCCCCGAGCCTCCGGCAGTCCACTGCAGGGCCGGCCGCGGCCCAATCCTACCAAGCCGCGGCCTACTCCATCCAAGACCGCGGCCTGGTGCAGATGACCCAGCTGCCCACCACTCTCCCACCGCACCAAAAACGACTGGTGCGAAAAGGTGAGCAGTGAAGACCCCCTAACCTCAACCGCACCTGGAGGGTGGAGCGGTGTCACCCAGACCCTCCCTCCAAGGCAACTACAACACCTGGCTTGGCGAGGCCTACCGCGGCCTACCCCTGCATGCTCCTCCGGCAATCCACCCACCAGTGAGCTGCAGTCTAACGATCGCCAAGACCCACTACGGCATGCTCCCCGAACCGTGAGCCCGCAGTCCTCATCTCCTTCTGAACCCACAGACGAACCTGGCCTGCGAGACCCGACTCGGCCTTCCACGTCGTGGCCTGACCCGGCCCTGAGGCCCTCCTTCCTACCCCCGTGAGTAGCGAGACCTGCCACAGCCTACCAAGACGCGGCCTGACCCTGACCCAAGGCCCTCTAACCACCCCCGAAGCAGACTTGGCGATCGACCCTACCCCCGGAGAATGGACCTGCCTCGGTGAGGCCTACCATCCCGGACCTCCTGTGCCCATTGGATGATCAACCCGGCCCTGACCTGAAGCCCATCGGATGATCAACCCTACCCTGACCTCCAGACCACCTGACGACCCCTCTCATAACCTTCCAATCTGGGACTCACGCAGCATGGAACCTGCAACTTACAATCTACCGAACTGATCTCTATCCACCCAGAGCCTAACCACTAGAACTCCTGCTACAAGAAGCTACTTCAATGTGATACGCCACTGCACGACGGACTATCCGCAACAATGCGCCCTGAGAAACCTCCCACCTGTCTGCCACTCCGTTTACCATCCTAAAATGCCACCTGTACTCCTCTTCCTCATACTCCTCTCCTCCATCCCCACTACGGCTCTCACCACCTCCTCCTAATACTCCATTCTCCCACCGACCCAAACGCCACCACTAGCAGACTCACACGCTCTTGCACATCTAGCTCCCATGCCACCTTTCTCACCCTTCTTCTCCTAACCGCCGGGGACATCTCCCCGAACCCTGGTCCCTCACCTCCTCACTCACCCACTAGGCACCCTCCTACTTCCACAAACTGCCGCAACCCCCTCAACCTGATACCTGTCCCCCTGCTCCCCACAACCACCCCTCCATTCTCATGTGCACTCCTGAACGCCCGATCGGTTTGCAACAAGCTCACCGCCATCCATGACCTCTTTATCTCCCGCTCCCTCAACCTCCTAGCGGTCACCGAAACCTGGATCCAAGCCACTGACTCTACCTCCCCTGTGGCACTCTCCTATGGAGGTCTTGTCTGGACCCATTCACCCAGACTGAGCAGTCGTAGAGGGGGTGGGGTTGGCATGCTCTTGTCACTGCTGAGCACCTTCCAGGTCCTCCCAAACCCCCCCTTTCTATCCTTCTCCTTTGAGGCCCACTGCATGCGGCTATTCTCCCCTACCCCTCTGAGGATTGCAGTAATCTATCGGCCTCCTGGACCCGTATCCCGCTTCCTTGACGGTTTCTCCGCCTGATTACCCTTCTTCTTCTCCTCAGAGCTACCCACCATCATCCTTGGAGACTTCAATATCCCTATCAACGTCAATAACCCGGCTACATCCCAACTCCTCCACCTAACCTCTTCTTTTGCACTCACACAGTGTACACAGTTCTCCCACTCCGACGGGAACACCCTGGACCTTGTTTTCGCTCATCTCTGCACCCTCCACAACCTCACAAACACCCCTTTCCCTCTCTCTGACCACAACCTCATTACGTTCTCCATCTCCCCATCCTCAAACACCTCCCTCCCCAAACGTCATACCATCACCAGCCATAGCCTCCGCAACCTGAACCCTGCCCCTCTCCACTCTGCAGCTGACCGACTTTACAACAGTATCCTTCCACTGTCCTGTCCTGACCAGGCCACTACTGCTTATAACAACTCTCTGTCAGCTGCCCTAGACTCCTTTAGCACCCCTAACCACACGTAGCATTAGACCCTGACCGCTTCAACCCTGGCAGAACGACCACACCAAGAATCTTAAACGACGCAGTCATGCATTGGAGCGATTATGGCGCAAAACCAGATCCCAACAAGCGTTCACCCTATACAAATCTGCCTTCCTCACCTACACCTCCTCTTTCCACGCTGCCAAACAAGCCTACTTCGTAACCCTCATCAATATCCTCTCCTCCAGTCCTCGCCGGCCCTTCTCCACTTTTAATTCCCTACTCTCTCTCCCTCCCCACCTCTACCCTGTACCTCACCGCCCACGAGATTGCTAACCACTTCCAAAACAAGATCAACGCAATCCGTAGGGACATTGCCAATGCTCAGACTTCCACCCCACCTAGCCTCCCTCCCATGATAACCCCCTCAACACTCCCCTCCTCTGACCTCGCAACTGCTCTTACCCCCACCCCACCTAACATCCAGCACACTAAAACCCCCCCAACACTCCACTTTTTCGACCTTGCTACCACTGAAGAGGTCACTAAGGTCTTCTCCGAAGCCCACCTCACCACCTGCCCCCTTGACCCTGTCCCCACACAACTCCTACGGTCACCCTCCTCCTCCATCTTACGCTCCCTCACCCACATCTTCAATCTCTCCCTCTGGCGCATTCCCCCCCCCCCCCAAAGCACGCGCACATCACCCCCATACTCAAAAATGCCCCCCTGGACCCCAACGACCTGAACAACCTTTAGACCCATCTCCCTGCTACCATTTACATCCAAGCTCCTTGAGCGCTTAGTCTACAATCGCCTAAGCTCCCACCTCACTGACAACAACCTTCTCGATCCACTACAGTCTGGCTTCCGTCCCCTACGCTCCACTGAAACCGCCCTACTCAAAATCACTAATCACCTGCTAACCGCCAAAGCTAATGGCCACTACTCAGTCCTCCTACTCCTCGACCTCTCCGCGGCCTTCTACACAGTTGACCACCCCCTCCTCCTTAAAAAACTATACTCCCTTGGCATCAGAGACTCCGCTCTCTCCTGGCTCTTCTATCTATCCCAGAGCTCCTTCAGTGTTACCTATAACGCTGCCACCTCCCCCTCTCTCCCCCTCTCTGTTGGGGTCCCCCAAGGCTCTGTCCTTGGGCCCCTTCTCTTCTCCATCTACATCTCCCTTGGCCAACTGATACACTCGCACGGCTTCAACTACCACCTCTATGCCGATGACACGCAAATCTACCTCTCTACCCCTCGCCTCACCCCTTCAGTCTCTGCCCGTATCAACTGCCTACTGAACGACATATCAGACTGGATGTCACTCCACTTCCTCAAATTAAACCTTTCCAAAACCGAGCTCCTATTTTTCCCCCCAGCCCGCGCTCCCCCCCCCCACTTCTCCATCACGACCAATAACGCCACTATCAGTCCCAACCCGCAAGCCAAAGTTCTAGGTGTCACTCTAGACTCCAATCTTATCCTTCCAACCCCATGTCCAATCACTGGCAAATTCATGCAGGCTCCACCTCCGCAACATCTCCAAAATACGTTCGTTCCTAACCCCAGACACTACTAAACAACTCATTCACTCCCTTATTATTTCATGACTCGACTACTGCAACTCCCTCCTCACCTGCTTACCTCACCACAGACTATCCCTGCTTCAGTCTATCCTGAACTCAGCGGCCAGACTCATTCACCTTACCAACCGCTCCGTATCCGCCACCCCCCTCTGTCACTCCCTCCACTGGCTTCCGATTGCCCAACGCATAAGATTCAAACTACTAACATTGACGTACAAAGCTATTCATAACACTGCCCCAAACTACCTCACCGACATGATATCCAAATACCACCCAACACGTACTCTTCGCTCCTCACAAGACCTCCTACTATCCAGTTCCCTGGTCTCCTCCTCCCATGCCCGACTCCAGGTCTTCCCCCATCCTCTGGAACTCACTACCCCAATCCATCAGACTGTCACCTACCCTCCTCACCTTTAGGCGCACCCTGAAAACCCATCTCTTCAGGGAAGCATACCCCACCCTCACCTAACAGCCGATCTCCTCCACTCCTCCTACCACTCCATCCCCCACAGCCATTTCCTCCTGTACCACTATCCCCTCCCTCCTAGATTGTAAGCTCCAAGGAGCAGGGCCCTCGAACCCCTCGTGTATTGTATTGTTACTGCATTGTCTCATGTACTGTCTCCCATTATAATGTACAGCACTGAGCAAACTTTTTGGCACTATATAAATACTGTATAATAATAATAACTCTTCTGGGAAGGCTATCCACAAGGTTTAGGAGTGTGTCTATGGGAAGGTTTGACCATTCTTCCAGAAGTGCATTTGTGAGGCTAGGCACTGATGTCGGATGAGAAGACCTGGCTCGCAGTCTCTGGTCTAATTCATTCCAAAGGTGTTCTATCAGGTTGAAGTCAGGACTCTGTGCAGGCTAGTCCAGTTCCGCCATCCCAAACTCGCTCATCCATGTCTTTATGGACCTTGCTTTGTGCACTGGTGCACAGTCATGTTGGAACAGGAAGGGGCCATCCCCAAACTGTTCCCACAAATTTGGGAGCTTGAAATGTCTTGGTATGTTGACGCCTTAAGAGTTCCCTTCACTGGAACTAAGGCACCAAGCCCAACCCCTGAAAACCAGCCTCACACCATAATCCCCCTCCACCAAACTTTACACTTGACACAATGCAGTCAGGCAAGTACCTTTCACATCCATCAGATTGCCAGAGAAGCGTGATTTGTCACTCCAGTGAACAGGTCTTCACTGCTCTAGAGTCCAATGGCAGCGTGCTTTACACCACTGAATCTGACGCTTTGCATTACACTTGGTGATGTAAGGCTTGGTTGCAGCTGCTAGGCCATGGAAATCCAATCCATGAAGCTCTCTACGCACTGTTGTGCTAATCTGAAGGCCACACAAAGTTTGGAGGTCTTTAGCTATTGACTCTGCAAACAGTTGGTGACTTCTGCACACTGTGCGCTTCAGCATGTGTCTGTCATTTTATGTGGCCTACCACTTCGTGGCTGAGTTGCTGTTTCCAGTTGCTTCCACTTTGGTATAATACCACTAGCAGTTGACCGTGGAAGATTTAGTTGCAAGGAAATTTCACAGATGGACTTGTTGCACAGGTGGCAACCTATCACGGTACCATGCTTGAATTCACTGAGCTCCTGAGAGTGAGCCATTCTTTCACAAATGTTTGTAGAAGCAGTCTGCATGCCTAGGTGCTTGATTTTATATACCTGTGGCCATGAAGGTAATTGGAACACTTGAATCCAATTATTTGGAGGGGTCTCCCAATACTTTTGGCAATATAGTATATATTTTTTCAGGGACAAGTGCTATATTGCTTGCCTAGTATCTCTTCATCAATCCCAAGATTTCTTTATTAAATGATTATATGCACATTTCCACTGTCTGCATCAGCGGTGTTATACTATAATCGCTTTTGATTGGATTAGGGAAACTACAGCCATAGATACAGTGCCATTTACCCTGCAAAGAGATATTTTGGTTCTATTGTTCAGATTGCTGCCATTGTGAGCTACCGTTTATCAGTGAAAATACACACAAATGATTGAGCACATAAAATCTACATTATTGTATCTTTTTGTGCATGCATCACCACTGGACCAGTCTACTTATCCACAGAAGGTTCATTTAAATACTATTTGCACTGTATGAAGTAATTGTGAGATACCTATATTTTAAAGTGAATTTTTGACCATGGACAAAAATTAAGGCTTATCTGATGTTTAGTCTGACCCGTTACGTTGGAGTGTTACAATTGCTTTGAGTCTGGAGACAGCTTGTCGATTTACAATTGAACCATTATGTTTAGTTTATTTGCTATATTCTATACTGAGTGTGGAATATCATTAGTGGGCGCTATATCTATGCTGGCTTTTCTGATCATTATTTGCCATCTATACTTATTTTGACTATTCCAGCCAACCAGTTGCTGGTGTGTTGCACAAAATAGAACATGCACTCTAATAAAGCAGTTATTTCAAGTAAAACTTACTACCTTTTTCATAGGGGCTATTTCCCCAAAGTAGATAGTAATACTATGAGACATACAGTACATAAGAATTTAATTGTGTGCAAATTTTTTGAAGCATCAAATAGTTCGAAGTGCAACTGTATATTAGCATCACATATTGTGGGTTTGGGGAAGTGGCTACTGCCATAGTTAATGGCCACATTTGAGAGGAGCTCCTACAGCCTCAACAATTCTGGTTCATCTTGTGGATAGATTGATCCCTGTGCCACAAAAACACCATGTAGGCATGCTGTACACCAGTGTTTTTCAACCTTTTTTGTGCAAAGGCACACTTTTTTCATGAAAAAAATCACGAGGCACACCACCATTAGAAAATGTTAAAAAAATTTACCTCTGTGCCTATATTGACTATATATAAAGTAATTCTCTTGAATAGGAATCAAACACAAAGAAATTATTTTATAATTACTTTATTATGAAATAATAAAGTATTTTATAATTGGACCCGGGGGCCGGACCAAGAGTAGATGAATGATGTGTATGTGTCATCCATAGTAAGTATAGTAATATTCCCCCATAGTAAGCATAGTAATTAATCCCCCATATAGTAATTCATCCACCATAGTAATTCATCCCCCATAGTAATTCATCCCCCATAGTAATTCATCCCCCATATAGTAATTCAGCCCCCATATAGTAATTCATCCCCATATAGTAATTCATCCCCCATATAGTAATTCATCCCCCATAGTAATTCATCCCCCATAGTAATTCATCCCCATATAGTAATTCATCCCCCATAGTAATTCATTCCCCCCTATAGCAATTCATCCCCCATAGTAATTCATCCCCCATATAGTAATTCATCCCCCATAGTAATTCACCCCCCATATAGTAATTCACCCCCCATATAGTAATTCATCCCCCATATAGTAATTCATCCCCCATAGTAATTCATCCCCCCTATAGTAATTCATTCCCCATATTAATTCATCCCCCATATTAAGTCCCCAAGCCCCCCGTGTCAATTCACTTACCTTTGCGCCGCGCGTTCCTCTCGCCGTTCCGGTGTAGGTCTCCTATGAGGATCTGTCCCCCTCGACGTATCTGCGCATGTGCCAGTTTCAGGCATTAGCAGCCGATCGGCAATCTCCGGCACATGCGCAGATACGTCGAGGGGGACAGATCATCCTGACAGTATCACGCTCCGTGGGCCGGATTAAAAGGTCCGCCGGGCCGTATACGGCCCGCGGGCCGTAGTTTGCCCGTCTATTTGTGAGCCGAGGCAATTTTTTTCCCACGGCACACCAGACAATATCTCATGGCACACTAGTGTGCCGCGGCACAGTGGTTGAAAAACGCTGCTGTACACAGCTGTACATAACTCAGCCATGAGGAAGGACCAGCAGCAATCAGCTGCTGAGCAGCTTAAGGAATTTGCTAGACCAGACCTCCATGAGGGAGGCCGCAGCCCTCCAAACGCTAGAAGCAGCAAGCCACTCAAACCTGATACCAACAAGCCTGTAGGGGGAACATCTAAAAAAAAAGCCCCAGAAAATGACAGCGGTGCAGGTGAATAAAATGGTTTGATCTGCTCTAACTACTTGTGATGCCTCTCTGACTGGCAGAGGAAATCAAATGGACATAGGCTTTATGACACAGGACTTATAAACTATCAGGGAAGAGAGTAACTCAGACCAGACTGTTGACTCAAGACAAGCCTCTCAACCTTTTCAACACAGGAACCCCTGCTAAAAAATGACTCTCTCTACAAATGATCATACACTAGTGTGATGGTCAATGGGAAGAATGCTCCTTACACTTATGGTCATTGGGAAGAATTACTCCCACAGCTAGCAAAAAAGATCAATTGTGTCAGTGGGAATTTATCCAAGAGGCAGAAATTGCTCAAGGAACCCGTAGTGACCTCTGGACGAACCTTTGGGTTCCATGAAACCCTGTTCTAGAGGATGATCTTTTCCCCATCTCTTAAAGATTGTTTGTCGCTGAAAAGAAAATAGACTGACATCAGAAGCTTAATGATCTGGAATACCGTTTGAGAGAGCTGAAGGACAGAATTCAGATATTATTGTAGAGAAGTGACTGCAATCCAGTCCTTTCCTGATATACGTAGAGTTCGCAATCGTTTTTGCAGTGGAAAGAGTTCCTGCCACCCTACCCGAGACACTTCACCAAAATTGATGCTAGCTAGGCTGCTAGATTGTAAAGGCAGGGATTTTGCTTAAGGCAAGCCAGACAAAAAGTGTCATACATGTACCGGCCACTTCATTAGTACACCTTGCTAGTACTGGGTTGGACCCCATTTTGCCTTCATAACTGCCTTATTTCTTCGTGGCATAGATTCAACATGGTGTTGGAAACATTCCTCAGAGGCTTTGGTCTATATTGACATGAAAGCTTCACGCAGTTGCAGATTTGTCAGCAGCACATCCATGATGCGAACCTCCCATTCCACCACATCTCAATGCTCTATTGGATTGAGATCTGGTGACTGTAGAAGTCATTGGAGTACAGTGAACTCATTGTCATGTCCAAGAAACTAGTTTGAGATGATTTGAGCTTTGTGACATGGTGCATTATCCTGCTGGAAGTAAAGGTATAGACACTATCAGCAACAATACTCAGGTAGGCCGTAGCATTTAAACAGTATTGAATTGGTACAAGGGGGCCCAAAGTGTGCCAAGAAAATATCCCCCACACCATTGCACCAGCAGCCTGAACCGTTGATACAAGGCATGATGGATCCATGCTTTCATGTTTTTACGCCAAATTCTGATCCTACCATCTGAATGTCACCGCTGAAATTGAGACTCATCATACCAGGCAACGTTTTTCCAATCTTCTATTGTCCAATTTTGGTGAGCCTATGCAAATTGTAGCCTACATTTCCTGTTCTTAGCTGACAGGACTGGCACCCGGTGTGGTCTTCTGCTGCTGTAGTCTATCTGCTTTAAGGAGATGGTATTCTGAATACCTTGGTTTTAACGAGTGTTTTTTTTGAGTTACTGTTGCCTTTCTATCATCTCGAACCAGTCTGCCCATTCTCCTCCGACATCCCCTTTCTTACCCATTCTGATGTTTGGTTTGAACTTCAGCAAGTAGTCTTCACCACGACTAGATGCCTAAATGCATTGAGTTGCTGCCATGTGATTGGCTGATTAGCAATTTGTGTTACCAAGCAATTGAACAGCTATACCTAAAAAAAAAAAAAAAAAAAAAAAAAAAAGAGAGTGTATATTATTATGAAAATATCACAGTTTCCATTTTTCCTGATTTCTCCTTGGAGTTACAAAAAGCAGCCTCCCTTGTAGAGGTCAGATGTGTAAGCTCTGAGGAATAGGTTAGGTGTATTCCATGGCCCACCCTGCAAGACTATATACACTGTGGATAATGGGAAAGCATCTTTCTTTCTTCACCACCCCTGAACAGGCTGCCTTCTAATTAGTATGTAGTTTGCCCATTTCATTCCTCATTATGATCACGGAGTTATTTTTACTGAGTTTATGCTGAATATCTACTCTTTACCTCATGGATGAAGTGAATCCTGAGTACTAATGAATATCTCTCACTGCAAATTAACCCTCTGACTTCGATGGAGACTGGCAGCTCTTTTAAGACCCATCATCCCTGAGTTTCTTACTCATTAGCAGGCCTTTTCATTTATGATCTTTGGAGAATTCATTGTTGTGTGATTTTGCCGTATCATCGAGCACATCGTACATGGACTGTATACCCCCATTCACATTTAAGCATTGCGCATATAGGTCATTTTCGGGCTTCTTTTTTTTTCATGCGGTTTTAATAGTGAAGTGGCATACAGAAGCTTCTGTGGGGCAGGAGTGTGTTTTTGCTTCATACACTTTTAATATGGGAGCACCTGAAAAGTGTGCACAACTTGTTTTCACACTTTTTCTTAACACAATTCCAATAAAGTCAGTGGAGTGTTAGGACATGAATCAGAAGAGAAGTGTGCAGCTGACCAGGCAAAGACTTTGCATACTTGCCAATGTCCAACATGGTCATGCTTGTCTGCACAGAGAAGTGCATAATCCCATTGGAATAGCACCAGGGCGCACACACTGAACACGTTCTCAGTAGTTACTGGCGCCAAATGGCCTTTAAAAGAATTACAGATATGCTCAGAGATTGCTGGTTGATCTTCAGCTTCCTGCATTCCTTGCTCCCATGTATTCTGTATCTTTGGATCTT